TCTTGATTTGTCCCTCTGAAAATTCAGAGGAATTAAATAGTCTGTCCTAGACACTAATAATTTCTCTTCCTTTTCTTGGAATGTTGCTTCAAGAATTCTTTTAACCCTGATATACTAACTGAGCATCAGAGAAGTTAAATGTCCATTATTCCTGCCCAAATACCCTAAACTATCTGACAGAAGTAAAGCTCAGGGTATCCTAAAGATGAAAGTTTGCATAGCTGTCTTGCAGTGTTGTCTGTGTCAGTACCACCAGACCTAGGAGACTAAGTCTGTCCATGGAGGAAGCCCCAGTGATACCTCTGTGGCTGCAGAGGTCTAGATGGCAAAAGCTCTTATTAGGGCTGGATTGTGGCTTTAAATGATGACACTGAATAGATGCGGCTGCACGAGATCCTCTTGTCTGTCCCCATCTGTGCCCTTTACACTGAAAGGAAGACTGATACCACAGGATATCGATCAGTGTCAACACAAACCATCCTCACTGTATGCTTCACCTTTACCTCAGCATTTATCATTGCACTGATGCTTCTAAGAAGATTCTGAAAGCCTTTAGAAAAAAGCAAAGCCTTTCTCTTTTTTGACTTATTCTTTGCAATTCTCTGATTACTATGTTTACATGGAAACAGGATTTTTTTTTTTTCTTTAAGAACCAAACCACAGCCCATGTACATTTCCTCAGGGGAGTTTCATAAAACTGTTTGTCAAGAAATGATGACTGTTTTTAATTTGGACTTTCTGAAGCTGACCAGAACAAACCACTCCTTCCCTGAGAGAGAAATCAGGAGTGATGGTCTAATCTAGTTATATTCAGTGGATAAATGGACAAAGGCTTTACTGGGGGCAGCATAGTTATTGGTGCCCATATTTCAGGCACAAAGGGCAATGAGACCTGTTACCTCTCTGATCCATTCTGGAGACTCTTCCCTGTGCCTTAGGCCCTAGAACAGATTCTGATTACAAAACCTGTGCCAAAAAACTTTTTACCAACTTTTTGTTGCCTGGAATATGATTTCAGGGTTGGATGTATGTAGATGTCAGTGGGAACTGTCTGTGCCTGGCTTTGGATATGAATGTGAACTAAAAAGAGAATTTCCATGAAGGATCTAGGGATACAGCAAAGGAGAAACAATGGCTGTATGCTTGTGAATAAGTGGGTCTCAAGCTGGATTTCTATGATATATGGTTAATGTAGGGTGAGGGAGTGTAGAGGCATGCATTTATTTATACTCAAGATAGTCCAACATGAAGGTATTTTGGGATTATAGATTAAGTGTAGAAAAAGGCATGTTCTGGAGAGGATAAGTATGAGGCACAGCATCTGAGTGGGGAAGCATGTCTTTAGTTTAGCATACTTATGTAAATACTTAGGGATAGACAGGCTGGTGGGAGGGGGGAATGTTCTCACAACTTATATTCTCTGCTAGTCATATTTGGTTTGTGTTTATATATATATATATATATATATATATATATATATATATATATATATACACACACATATATCCTCACTTAGAGTGCTTTACCAAATACTAGAATTCCAGCTAGAATTAATTGTTAGCAGCCTGCCCTCTGTTAGGGCTAATGGGTTGCAGGTATTGATTTTTTTTCTATTTCTATTGATTAGGAGGCTGCTGTACATACCAGCCTTAGCATAGCATGGAAAGAGAAAGGGAGGCAAAACAGTTCACATCGCAGCAACTCATCATGGTGGAAAATTCATCCTGGGTATCTCAGTCTTCTCCAGCTATCTCTTCTGAGTAGAGAAGGAAGGCATTCCTGTTTGCAGAAATCAACCCTTAGGGCTCATGAGAGACACTTTTTGTTTCCCAACCGTCTTCAAATATACCACTCAATGGGAGAAAAGTTGTGTAAGAAAAAGGGGAAAAGGAGTCTCACATGGAAAGCACAGGAGTTGTAGCTTCAAGACTCAATCTGAAACACTTATCTTGAGTACCCATAGGCATCCAGATCATTCATAACAGCACCCAGTTCCCACTAAAATCAGCACAAACACTTTCACTTTGGTGTGCTTTATGAACACGTTCTGGATTTTTCAGTGTCTCTGCAAACTAATGAACATGTTACTTTTTAGGAGTGTTGTGAGGCTAAATGAACCATTTGTACAAGATTTAGCTTGGAAGAGGACATAAGTGAGAAATTGAGGGATTTCTGTATGGCAGCATTAGAATCTCATACTTGGTGCCTGCCAGAGTCCACTCCTGTCTATCACAAGAGTTGTTTTAGGCACTCCTAGGGTAGAACCCACACCCATTTTGCATGGAAATCTGCTCATTTTAATTGATAGACCTCCATATCCTGTATCTCCCTTCTTCTTTAATTTCTGGTCAAAGGGTTACTCTAGAGATGACTTTGCTGTAGTATTGATTGTCTGAGGTTTAAACTGTGTTGTTGATCTTCAAGTTACATGAACCTGAAGAAAAGAAGAGATGCCCAGTGAGGCTTTTTCCATCTGCATTTATCTTCCTATGTCTATCATCTCCATCTCTAGCTCCTCCAACTGCAATTCTCTAGCAAAACCCACAAATCTTCTTTCCTTGGCTTTCTAGTTTGTTGAACTGGTCTAAGAAAACCACCAGCATGCAGATATGATGTGAATAATATTTCTTAAGTGCTTTGGGACCCTCTGCTTTGGATGTCAGTGATGACTGCTCTGATCACCCCATCTGCTTTTCTAACAGTACAGATACATGACTTTTTTCTTCTCCAATAGAATATCTTACATTTTAATTCTCTTTATACACCATATCTTTTCTCTCTTCTCAGCCGCATTGGCTTCCAGTTCTGTGATCATAACCCTAACCCCACTTGTTTTTCCTAACATCTCCTCTGCTGGTGCATTTCCCTATTAACACCTCTGCTCTGCCTGCAAATGCAGTTGCACCAACTCTATCTCTTTTACAGCTCATTACAGCAGCTCCTTCTCAGCTGGCCTTCCCAGGATGAAGATTCCTAGATTCAATTTTTATACACTATTGCTGTTTGATTTTATCCGATGTGCCAAAGAGCTCCACTGCAGCACTCAATCCACAAACACTATTCAGTCTCATTACCATCCCGTGGAGTTGCTTCCGACTTTGTGCCCTTCATCTCGCTTCCTGCATCTTTCTCATGCCCCTTTTTTCCTACAGCACTGCCCCTTCTCTCCACAAATAGCAGCACTCTTGGTTTGCCATTGGAAGCAGACTTCCTGTGGCTCCCTGTCTCATCAGCTTCTCATTTCAAGTAATTTAAAATGTAATTTAAAATCTCTCTATTTCCTCCAGACTATTAATTTCTCTCTCCTTACTCTTCTATAGATGTCATTCTGTGTTACACTATTCAGAAGATGTGACTGTTGTAAAAATCGGCCACAGTGGTTTTATTCTGTATTCCTGTTTCGTACTATAATTTTTAATGATTCTTTGTAGGAAAGACGAAATCTCAGCACAGCATCTAACCACAGCACAAGCAGTCACACAGGACAGTCTGGCATTTGCATTGCCTTTGTTCCATTCTTCTCCTGTGGCATTTAGAACTCTGGAGGGATTATTGTGAATGGTCTAAGAGTATATATAAGTAGGATAGCAGGAAGAGAATTATTTCTGGAAATTGAGAAGTGTGAAGCAGGAAGCCATGTTTAGTTCTGATCCTGAGATGCGCTGAGCTCTCATAGGTCTGACTGCTCTTAACCAGAGATTATAGAAATTGCTACCCTGCAAATGCGTCCTTCTTACACTGGCAATTTCTTTGGGGAGAACATGCCCTTCTCTTGATGTAATACACTATTTGAGAGTACAGAGTAACTGAGGAGCCAACCTTCCTTGGAAGTATGAGGTCCAAATTTCCAGAGTAGTTTCTTGTCCACACATGAGATGTTTGTGCCTGATGGATTTAAGTGCAAGAATAGCCAAATTAAGTTTTTTCTTCTTCAGAATCTTTCAGACTCCTGGCCCAGGCTTTCTATCTTTCTTTGAAGAATGAGAGGACTTGAATATTGGGGTGGGGTTGGAAAGGAACAACCATTAGCCAAAAACAAAATGCTCAGAGCCCCAAGAATTATTTATTCTTCCTTTATGCCTTCCTCTTCAAGGCCCCTTCCTTCTTTCAGGAGATATATAAGGGGAGGAGAGGTCCTTGGGTGGTCTTCCCTAGCTTTCCAAGCTAAGAGCCTCATGGTGACTCCTGAACACAGGCCATCCCTGTAGAGCCATAATCTCCCACCAGCTTAGGGGTCTTCTCCACATCCCTCTGCCTCTCAAATTCCTTTGCAACAAGGACACCAGAGAGCCTGTCCACAAACTACCACCCAAACTACCATCCTCCACATTTCTGCAGCAGACAAGTGCTAAAAATCCAAACTACAATATGCACCTACCTCCATGTTCATCCCCAGCTGTTCAGCAGCTCCAGGGTACAGAAAGAGCCCCCCCCACCCCAGCTCCAATGGGAGAGGGCAAGGCTAGAATTCCCCCAGATGAACTAGGTACAGTGTTTGTCCACAAAGAATATTTCAGTGATCTCAGCCTGCACTGTCTTCTACAACCTGTCCCTTTTTCTGCCTTCCCTGGGGCCTCTTCTGCCTGTTGGTGGTGATTTACATATGGCTGATGCTGGACACTATGAGTGCTTGCTGACCTCTACCTCAGTCTCAGCTGTGAGGGCCACCTGGATTGTGCCCTCCAAATTGGGGAAATGATCAAGGGTCTGTAGGGCAGCCGGTGGCCCCTGATTGCTTGCTATAGAGCCCTTCATGTCCATGAGTCCTGGGACTGATTGTCCTGGAAGGGCAGTCGCAGTCTGCACCCAGACAGGGAGTAGGGAGAAGAGGTAACTGGAATTATGAAAATGCAGCATGGCTGAAGCTCTCCAACTGGTTCAACTTCCCAGCACCCCCTTCCCCTAGCGCTGCTCCCCCGCATAGAGCAGCAGTGAACCTAAAGCAGATCTTCTAGTCTAATTTTTCACTGAACAATGAATCTGATCAGAGAGAAACAAAATCGGTAGCATCAAGAATTAGATTATTTCTTTTCTTCGTGATTGTTGCATTAATGAGCAGCTACATGTATAGAACCAGGAGGTGACTAATGTAATTAACCTGGTGTAATGATACTGCTGAGGAAGAGAGGATTATGACATACTTAGATGTCAGTATTGCACAATTTTGTATGTGTTCCCTGTACTATAGGGTTGTGTCTGACACAGAAAACTTAAGCAGTGATAGATTTCAGTCTGCATCCATTCAGCTCATGCGTCTTTCTGTGTAAAATGAGGATGTGAAAGGTGGATTGCTTTCCCAGGGTTGAGGGGGTGGAGGTATTCAATTTTGGTGGTGTCTTTCCTTAACAAAATTATACTAATTATCATAAACCGTCCTTTCTCATGAAGAATCTTCCCAAAATGTCTGCTTCTTGGAGCAGGCATTGGGATTTCAGTGAAATCCCCAAAGACAAAGTAAGAACATGGGGATCTACACAACACTGGTCAGGGGGAGGCACAGGGACGGAAAACGAGCAATACCAAGACATACGCAACTTGCAGCAAACCCGAGAAGAGTGAAGAGCAAGCACTTAAAAATCATAACAACAGCAATAAGAGCAGAAATACATGCTTATTTTTAAATTACCCTTCCACGTTACATTTCACCCGCCTCCTGGGGAGACAAGCGGCTGACTGAAGTTTTGTGCGGGTCTAACTGCGGTGTGAGGGTCGCACTCGCAGCTCCGGGTACCTACGGCGGAGATGCGAAGGAAGCTGAGCTGGGGGGCGGCGGTGGAGGGGGAAAGGCGGTAGGCGAGGGAGAGCCCCAGCGCCGTCTTCCCCTGGGCTCCGCGGCGGCCGCGGGGAAGCGACCCTTGCCAGTGCCGGCAGCGGCGGGCGAGGCGCAGGGCGGGGGAAGGCTGCCCCCCGCCCCTCGCTGCCTGCCTGCTGCCTGTGCCTGCCCGCGCAGAGCGGAGCGGGGCGGAGGAGGAGGGAGGCTGCCGCCCGCGGATGCTGGGGCGCGGGCGGCGCGGGCAGGGCGGGCGGCGCGGGCAGGGAGCTGTCCTTCAGCACCGCGGGCCGCGGAGCGCTCCGCCCGCACCGCCGCCCGGGGAGCTGTCCTGCAGCACCGGCGGCCCGGGAGCGCTCCGCCCGCCCCGCCGCCCGGGGAGCTGTCCTGCAGCACCGCCGGCCAGCGCCGACACCAACCCCGCCGCCGCCGCCAACGCCGCCGCCGCCGCCGCCGCGGGGGAGCCGTCCAGCGCCGCGCCGCCAACGCCGCCGCCGCCGCCGGCTTGATGCGGTAGCGGGGCCCGGGAGTCGCCGGGGGCCGCCGCGGAGCAGGGGGTGCCGCAGCCGGGTTCCGCTCCGCGCCCTCCGCCCGAGAGGGGCGCCGCGCCTGTCCCCCTCCTCCCCCTCCCCAACCCCCCCTTCCAGGAGCCCCCCTCTCTCCTCGCCCACCTCCGCCGGGAGCGAGCGCCGCGGCTGTGCGGAAAAGCCATGGGAGGCAAGACCTCGGCACCTGTTCAGCTGAAATCAAGGGCTTACAGTATACTGGGCACTCCGGCTTGGTGATAGGAGCGAGCAAAAGGAAGGAGAAGCAAGCGAGAAAAAGTGAGAGAGGATTGGAGCGACTGCCGCTGCCGGGAAAAAAAAAAAAATAAAAACCCAAGGAAGATAACTGGGAAGGAAAAGGATTTTCATGGCGCAGGCTGCAGAGCTAAGCAAGAAGACTGAAGGTTGCATCTCTGCTCTTACAGTCTCTAACTGTCTAGGTCCAGATAATGAGAGATTGTGTTGAGGATGCTGCTGCTGCTCCCCTGTTCACTGTGGAAGCCATCTCCAAATTAGCCATTACATATGGAAACTGGAGACCAGAATTTTAGAAAAAGGGATTAAGGCGTCTCATTTTGGGGGGGGTTCTCTCTTTATTTGTTTGGTTTTTCTTGGTTCTTTTCTCTCTTCTTTTTTTCTTTTTCCTTTTTCCTTTTTTTATATTTCAACCAGAACGTTTCCGATTTAAAAGGCAAGCCTCTTCCCGTGTGGTCTTTCTAATTTACACTCTTTTCCGTGGGCTTTCTTACCTCCCTTTTTTGATATCTATCTCTCTCTCTATACCCATTATATTATTAGTCGGAATTATTATTCTTTTATTTTATTAAACACACACACCCCAAGAATCAGAAGGCGGTTGGGTATTTGTATAATGAAGAATTATGGGGCTCTTTGACAGAGGTGTTCAGATGCTTTTAACCACCGTTGGTGCTTTCGCTGCCTTCAGCCTGATGACCATAGCTGTGGGGACCGACTACTGGCTTTACTCCAGAGGGGTTTGCAAGACTAAAACTGTCAGTGAGAACGAAACCAGCAAAAAGAACGAAGAAGTCATGACCCATTCTGGATTATGGAGAACCTGCTGCCTAGAAGGTATTTGATTGTGGACCACCACCCCCCCCCTCCCCTTCCTCTCCCACCACCCCACGTTTCTTCCTCCTCCCCCCAATAAATCCCTCCACATTCCACCATTTTCTCACTTCATTCCTTTTGCGGTGGATTGAGACTGGTGGGCTCAGTTACTCAGAGCACAGAAGCCAGAAGACGGGCAAAACATTCACTGTTCTGTTCCCTTCTCCTTCTTCTTTCCCACCCTCCCCGCTCCCACCTTCTCCAAAAATTCACTTCCTTCCTCCAACTCAAATAATGTGTGTGTTACAAAACCACCGAGAGATCCTTTCAAAAAGCAACTGTGCAGCCTGCCTGTCTTCAGCTTGTTTGTATTGCCTGGGTAAGCAATGCCAAAATGCTGTGTTATTGCTGTGCTCCGGCTGCAATCAGAGAGTGAAATAATTGCTCTCTTTGCAAATGGCTTATTTGCAAAGACAAGACATGAGTGAGGGGCAATGTGGGGAGGAGGTGATTGCAAAGCACTTTGGATGCAATTTAGTTCACTTTAGGAAGGAAAAGGAGAGAAAGGGAAGCAACTGTGTTATGTCCAAAATGTCTCATACAGAATGATACCAGTCATCTCAAACAGAGTTGAGAGCATTTTGTAATGTCTGTAGGCAACCACATCTCACTGGGCTGAATGCAAAGGAGTCTAGTTGGCCGCTGACTGGTTTGGTTTGGGGCTGGGATTTTTCCCCAGTTTGTTTGTTGCTGGGAGGTGGGTTTTGTTTGGGGTTAGTTTTGGGGTTTAGGGTTTTTTTTTTAAGGTTTATGATAAAAGCTTAAAATAAACAAGTCTCTGAATGGAGAAATCAGCTGAAGTCTGATGTGGTCAAACTGAACAGCAACTCAGTGACATGTCTGATGACAGAAGAGACACCACTGCAGCCAACTTCTGGAATCAGACGTTCTAAAGGGAGAGGAAAGGAAAAGAGGGGAAGAAGGAAAATATTCAATTTTAAGTATGTGTTGCTGAGTACTGCTATTGCCATATGCGTGGGCTGGGGAGGTGGTCTTCAGCCTGTGCTGGAGGGAGAGGGGCAACTGATGTAAATGCATGGTTTATGTTACACGCGTAGTGAGGAGAGAGTGAGAGAACAGGAGCGCACATTACAGCCCGTTGTGAAAGCCCTGTGTGTGAATCAGCTCCCAGCTGGACGGTGGGCTGCCGGGGCTTCATGACATCCAGGGATAAGATCAGTGCTGCCGGTGTCCACCGGAGCTGGGTGTGCCTGGAGCTCCCTGTCGGGAGAGAACAGCAAGTGGGTACTGCAGAAATGATTTTCTTAACCCGGCACTGGGAGATGGAAGGCAGGGGGAAGGGGGAAATAAACTCTCTATGTTTTGATGTCTTTCACCAAAGAAAGCTAAAGCTGCTGTTTGGAAATGGTTGTGTCCAGGAAGAAGCATGAATTCCCCCCCCACCCCCCCCCACCCCGGTTCTTGGTGCAAATGGTTGAGTGATGGCTGGACATGTTTTGAATAGCTAAGTGACTTCATTGAGCGATGGTCTATTTGACGCATACTGCATTTAGTGCCCTTTGTCAACCCAAACTGCTGCCTTTTAACATATCCTGCAGAGGAGCTCTATGCTGAATACTATATGCTGTATCCACGCCAGAAAATCAATAGCAGTAAATTAATGGGGGATGTTTTAAACACACTTGCTCACACACACGCACAGATTTCCTGCAAATAGATAAATACATAGAGGTATATATTAATAAAAAATGAAAAGCCTTTCACACAGATATTCATTACAACCAGGGAAGGAGACATCTCCTTAATTAAAAATTAATGAGAGAGAAGGGAAAAAAAGAAGCCCAAATGCAAAGCCGTGCAGGGAAGAGAGGCTGCAGGAATGAGCTCCCTTCCTGAGCCATGTCCCCAAGCTGGAGGGCGGAGGGAGGCTGGGGTTGAGATAGAAGATATAAGCACCCCAGCCAGGAGAGGCAGTGAATTCAGATCATGTCTATCTGCCCACAGAGCCATACCCAGAGGGACACGGTCTGAGGGGGAGGAGGAAGGGGCGGGTGAGGTTTGTCAGATTGGAGGAGCTCGGGGCTCCTTCTCCTTTACATCTGACAGGACCCCACAGGCACTGTTGAGAAGTGGCTTGCATGGCAAAAGAATGTGCCAGGATGCTTCCAATTAAAAGCTTTGAAGTGCCCCCAGCCCCCACAATGTTGCGCTGCCAGCCCAGGTCCCCTGCCCTCCCTGCTGATGCTCCCCAGTGGGGCTAAAACCATAGACCTGCATGAACGGCATGAAATTCAGCCTGAGCACAACCTGCATGGCCCTGGCAGGTTGCTCTCACTCGCCCCACACGCGTGAGGGTCGGGCTGGCCCAATCCCCCAGCCCCCGAATGCTGGGCAGCAGCAGGAAATGGGGTAGGAGGGTGCAATGCACCGCAGGGGAGCTGGGCCCAGAGCTGAGTGCCTCGCCTGAGGGCACAGGTTGCACTAAAACTTGGATAAAGACTTGGTTGCAAGAGCATCTCGGCAGAAAGCAAAACCATCCCCATGGGCACATGCTGAGCAGGGCCTGAGCATGGATTTGCCTCGTGAGGTGGCACAGCATAGGTTTGGCACTGCCACTTCTGGGATGCCTCTGCTTGGCTTCCCGCAGCCCCACGGTCTGCATGGGGTGGTGGCTGGTACTCCCTTGGTCCCAGGACAGTGCAGCCAAATATCCCCACCAGGTCTTGGATGGCAGGGCTCTTACTGTCATGTCTGATCAACTTGGTGTTGGGAGGGGTATCTTCTTTCTTGTCAAAAGGAATCAGAACGATGTCCCTGGTTGAGTCCCTCTCCCTGGTGAACAGGAGGGAGAAGGGTGCAGCAAAGGCTCCTCTCCCCCATGATACATAGAGTGGGTAGATTTATGGAGGCAAGAGCTTGGTCTCAGGAGTCTATAAAAAGGGCAAAAACCTTGGGTCTGTGCACAGCCTGCCCACACTGTGGCAGAGGCACCTGATAAAGGATATGGGACAGACGCTTCTCCCTGGGGTAGATGTCAGGGCAAGTCTATAGGGTGAGGGGAGGTAGTGAAGAGGAGGGCAGGAGGCTTTGCAACAAGAAAATAATCAAAGATGGAGTTCAAACTGCCATCTGCTACTGGTTGGAAGCCTCTGATAATGTTGCCTTCATTTCTGGAAATGTGGAGGAGCACTGGCATTAGTCAACACTGTAGGCTGTCAGAAATGGTGGACGCCTCATGTTCAAGTTATCATACCAAATTGTCTTTTCTCTTCTTGGCCAAGAGATCCAGTAGCAAAAATGGATGTCAGTACTTATATTGGGCTGTATGCACAGATACATTGTTGTCAGAATTGCAAGCTCCTCTTGGAGAATTTGGTCCCCAGGCTTTCAATTGTTGTGTTTCCCTCTCTTCAGTCATTCTATTCCCTACAATGGACTTTCAGTCAGCACTTTCAAATCTTTGTATTACTTCAAAGAAGAGTGTAATTTGGGAAGTTCTTCCTCTATTGGGATTTCTTTCCCCCCTTTCTTGTGCCCTACAGTGAGCACCTGCTGCATGGTGGGACTCAAGCAGACAGGTGGTGTCAGTCCACATTACTTCAGATCATGCTTCTGATTTTTTCCCTAATCTTCCTCCAGATGATTCTCTTTCAGACTTAGGGGTCACCCAAATATGTATCTGGGCCATTCAAAAGTCTCTACCCTTCAAGAAAAATGTTTTTTTTTTCTCAGCCCTTTAGCTGTATAGGCACAAAACACCCACGAACAGTGAACAATTGAGATCTGCAAGCTCATGCCCCACATGGATGCTGCATCTCTTACAATTTTGAAATGGCTGCGGATATTCCAGCCTAATTCCTCCTTGGCACTGAATGTTTTAAAACCACTTTTTATTATGAGTGATGCCTTGTCTCTCTAATTCTTTCATTAGCTCCTGTAGATCTCCTACAGGATCTCAAAAAGTGAGGGACGATGCCTTATCAGGGTTTTATGAAGTAAGCAAATGAAATGTATTTCTTATCTGTAGGTTATTGGTTTTGTCATGTTGTCATTATTATTAAGAAACTGATCGGTCTGGGAGGCTTTTGTACTGAGAAGGCGGGAGAGAAGAGTCCAGGGCAGGCAGGCATGAGTGATGCACATGGGGTTAGACATCCCTGTAGATCTGACTGGTGTGAAGGCAAGTAATTGAATGGATGTTGGTGGAGAAAATAATTCCTGCCTAGAGACCCTTCCCAAGGAGAATTAATGAGCTGATCTGTTCCCTTCCCAGCTTGTTATATCTGAACAGTGCATGAGAGCTAAGTGCAGATTCAGTGTTTGCAAAAATGAAGAGCTGACAGCAAAGTGAGGCAGGGCACAGACAGTGGACAAGCTTCTGCCAGACGATTCTGGCGCTGCATTGCTTCCTTTCACTGCCTTCTCCCACTGCTATTTGTTGGTGCACCTCTTTCCTTTCACATCCATTTTATATGGAGGTTTTTTTCTGTTTTCCCTCTTATCTTTCATTATTTTATTTCTTTCAGCTGTTGTTTCCTGTCAGTGTCCCTAGTTTTGCTCACAGAATTGCCTGCCGTTCTACTTCCAAGGATCCACAAATCTACAAAGGGTCTTTTCCTTTCATCCTTGCTGACCTAATCCAGGGCCTGATCTGAAAATGCAGTGGCTGTAGCTGTAGATTAAATCAGGATCTCCATGTCTTCGCTGTTCAGGACCAGGAGCATCATAGCCCAGACGTGAGATGCAGCAGGAGGAAATGACCAGGCACAGAGCTGATTGTTGCTGGCATTGCATCTGCCAGGGAAGAAAAGGATTCCTAGTTGGACAGGCCTTGGGTAAAGAAGAAGACAAAGGATTTTAAAAAGTGGGGTGGCAGATGGTGAGGAAGAATTACTCAGGATTCCAGATTTGGGTGGGTTTGATTCTCCTCTCAGCTTAAATTCACACCTGACTGAAGTCACAGTGAAGGCAGGGATTTGAGGGGTTGAGACATGCAAGCT